CACCGCATCATCCCGCAAAAACCCCCAGCGCCAGGAGCCTCCGCAGGGATGTCACGGATGCCCAGGGCGGCAGGCGACGGCCGCAGCCCCCTAGAGCGGCTCCCGCACGAGGCGGTGCCGCCCGCACTGCCGCGGGCGGGGACAGCTGGATGAGCCGGGAGTGCCGGGGGCGGCGGCAGCTCCGTCCCGTACTCACCATGGTGGCGGCTCCGCCGGCGCTCGGACGGCCCCGGCTCGGCCGTTGCCATGGAGACCGAAAGCCTCGCGAGCGCCCTCGGCGCGCCCCGATTGGCGGTGGCGCGCCCACGTGACCCGCGCGGCGTGGAGGCGGCGCGCGCACGCTTCCCGGGAAATAAAGGAGGTGGGATGTTTTCCGTTTGAGTTTGGGATGTGCTCGGCTCGCGGTGGGCATTATTCCACGTTTATTTACACCACCTAAGATTTTTTTTTTTCCCCCAAAGGCTTCTTTGCTAAACACGGATTTTTGCAAAGCCGTAGCGTGGAATTAATCCCGCTAAAGTCGGCAGGACAGCGCAGAATGACTTGGGTTTTAAGGGATCTTAAAGATCATCTAGTCCCAAGCGCCCCCTGGGCAGGGACACCTTCCAGTAGATCCGGTTACTCAAAGCCCCATCGAGTCTACCATTGAACATTTCCAGGGACGGTGTCAGCGAGTGTCACAAAGAATAAAACTCTCTAACACTGACTTTAAACTCCTGACTCCTCTCGTTTTAAGTTCTTTAACCCGACAGCCATGGTGTCAACTACTGTTTTCCACGTTGTTTTCTAATCAACAGCACTATTTTGTTTGCTTCCTATGTGGAGCCATGGAGTGGACTATCAGGTATCCAGCACAGGTTACTGGAGCACAGGGCTCGCAGCAAACAAGGGAACACGCTAAACAGACAGTCTTGGCACACCTCAAGGACTCCTATGAAGTTTGCTCTGTACATAAGGAAAAACATTAGGGCTTTTGGGTTTGGTGTAGGGGGGTTTATTTGTGGGCTTTTTGTTTCTCTTTATCTGCTACCTCATATCTCACCTGCTTGGAGCAACAAAATCCAAACTACTGCATCATTTATTTTACTAATTTATTTTCATGTTCTTCCAGTTCTGTTCTTTTTTACCACTTGCCTTGCTTTGCTGCACTCAGAGACAGAATAGAAAACTCCATTCAGCAACATGGGCTAGCATAGGACAGCCCTGATTCACTCACAGATGAGTTGCAGGTAAATGACTAACAGACCAAGAAGCAGCAAGCTGGAAAAAGGCAGTCTGGAACATCCACAGTCAGGAGGGCTGCTGTACCTGGGCAGCTGTTTCATCCAGGCACTTTCTGGAGCAGAGTGGCCCCAAGGGAAAACTGCCCTTCTTCCACAATTAAAGAGGAAAAAATGAGATCCATTTTCACACCGTTAGAATGCAATTTGCATTACTCAACATTATATTTGTCTTACTGACTACAGTCTGCAGTGCATTTTCATTAACTAATGGCCCTAAAAGCAGCAGTGACTAATTTAGGATTAACAGGAGATTTTGAGTAGGCAGCTGTATTAGTGGCAAATCTAACCTAATTTCTTTGTACTTCAGGAGCAACTTTGTACAATCAGGAGCAACTGACACGGCTTCCATCCAAATCGAGCAGTCTGGATCAGCTCTTGAGACAGACAGGCCTGACTCCTTCCAAATCTGTCCTCAGCAAACACCACAAGTCACAGGTGCAGCCTGCATTCAACACAGGAGACTCAGGACATATTTGCAGGACGCCCTGGACCATGTGACTCTCAAGGGAATGGCATCCAAGTCTGGCCTCAGAATTGAAAACGACATCCATGTGGCAACCAGGGGACCGTAGAAAAACAGGCCATATGCACAAAAGGTTGTTCACGAGCATAAGCAGCATTACAGTTGTTGAAGGTGACCTGAAAGACACAGAAGGAGCTGTGCTATGCCTTGTTAGCTTGCACCTCTCTGTCCCACGCTCCATCCCACAGTACATGCTGGCAGCAGCACTCCCTCAGTTTCCTTAGCAAGCTGTGCAGGAAGAGGAGTAATGGAGTATTTGTATGGGAAGAACTCAAGATCCCAGACCAATGTTTCCGTCATCCAAATTTAAGCCTCTTCGAAGCTGCAGGAGAAGATACATTGCATTTGTGTCTGCAAACCTCCCTAACAATCTAACCTTCACTTTTTTGCCTGCATCCTTGAGAGTTCCGTCAATCTCAAGAGAATGGCACCATCGTCCCCACTGAATCAAATGCATTAGTTCCTTGGGGAAGCCTGTTTGGATCCCTGCCTACTGTCACGGTGCACTAATGCAACTAAATGCACAAGTCAAGTAACATTTGGTCCTATCAACTTAATGTTAAAAACAAAAATAGTTAAATTTTAACTTTCTAGGGGAGTACAGCATCCACAAGGCTTTCAAAGAGCACTAAAACTACACTCCAAATGAAACAAAGAAGGATAAGAGGGAAATTCAACAAAACCTGTGATGCAAGAAGAGACCCATCTTCTAACTAAGGACCTTGAAACAGTTGATCATATCCCAGCTGGTGAGAGGTTCACAAAAAAATGAATTTCAGCCTGTGATCGGTGTGAATAACTCAAAGGACCACTTGTCCACATGCTGCAAGAGCGAGGAGAAAAGGCAGTCACTCGAGTATCCTTGCAGACTGCACTGCTGCCAGTACATGGCAACTTTCTGAGGCACCACACTGGAATGCTACAGGAACATGCTCCCTTCACTGAGAACACCTCAGTGTCGCTGGTGTGCGGTTCATTTCTGCGTGATGGCTGAGCATATTTCACATAATCTGAAATTTTTGTCTTTGTAAAATGTTTTCCCATTTTTAATATTGTGTGAGGTTCATTAAATTTATGTCCAATCAATTGTTTTGTAGTCTTTTCTCTTTTGTATTTCTTTTACAGGAGTTTCCAAGCGAGAGATCATAATCCCAACCCCTGTTATGAACCTTACTGCATACAAAGCAGTTTTTCTAAAATTTCGGATAAGAGCTTAAAAAAAAAAAAAATCTACTACAAACACCAAGCGAGATTACCATCCAGAAGAAATTGCTTTTCAAACCTCAAATCCATGCCAGGGTTTCATTTATGCTTTTCTTCAACAGAAATCCAAGGACATGCTTGTCTCCACAAATTCACAGTCTTGTTCTTTAGAAAGCCAGTCTATACCTAACAAATAGAGAAGAGCTGTCAGCTACCATGGGCACTGCTTACCTCTGGTCTTACTTCCAGACATCCATCTCTACAAGTCTCATTGCACATAAGCCGAGCTGAGAATTTTTCATTACTATTATGCATTGAAGAATCACTAACAAATTATGATTACTACTGTAATGATACCACAGGTGGTACCTCTTAAGCAAACTATTACCTATAAGTAACAGAAGACCGTAGGGCTGAGTTTTCATTGCTATTTGTTAGCTAGGCACAGAGAAAGAAAATTCCTTTAGGAAAACTCTGAGACTTTTTCTCTCATTTCCTTTCTTTCTCATAAATACACACAGTGTGAGCTGGGAAAACAACACAGATGATGTCCATTAATTAGTTTTCCTAGACCAGACTCATGATGTCAGATCAACATTTTTATTTCTTTAGCAGGAAAGAGAATTTCAAGAAAAGAAAAAATTCTAATAATCTACTCAGAGAAGCCGTTATCCAGTAGTATCACTGAGATGCCTCTGTAATGCATAATCCATATCAGTAACAGTGATGCCAGACTGCACTTTCCTGAATGAACATAGAACGAACCATAAACACTCCTATGCATCTTTTTGGGGATATCTCATTACTGCAGGAGATAATGGCCAATATTGCATACATTTTTCTTTTTTTGATGTTATACTAAACAGTCAGTTACAGGCTAAAACTAGGAAGAAATCATTCCCTCGCTAGGATTGTTCCTTGTAGCTTATCCTGTGTTCCCTGCAGTATAGTTTTTCTATAACAGCACTTCTGTTGGATCTGTGAAACAATATGTAATTACATGCTTTATTGTTACAATTCGAGCCTCTGGGTACTGTGTTAGTGATGAGATTTTCTTTAAGCGCTATTCTTTTATAGTTCTTTCAAAAAGATTATCTTCCTCCAATTTTCACAGAGAATCTTAATTATTAAGAATAGAGCCTCTACGAAATGCTGTTGATTCAAGCAGTCACAATTGAATCATAACAAAGATTAAACAGGGAGCATGGTCTGAGTGCCATCACATACACATTTTTAATTTAATTTTTTTCTCTTACACTAAATTTGCCTGTGCTCTTGGACAATTCTTTGAACTGTCTTCTTTCTAGGGTATCCTAAGACACGTTTATAGATTCATAGCATCATAAAGGTTGTAAGACACCTTTGAGATGATCCAGTCCAACCGTCCACCCCAGCACCGCCACTGTAACCCCTAAAACACTAAACCACTTCTCCAGTGCCGGATCCAGACACCTCGCAAACACCTCCAGGGGTGGTGACTCCACCACCTCCTTGGGCAACGTGTTCCAATACCTGACCAACCCCAAACAGTGAAAATTCTCTTTTCTGTCATCTAATCTGAATCTCCCCTGTCTTGGCTTAGGGCCATTTCCTCTCGTCCTCTCACAGCAGAAGAGACCGGCCCCCACCTCACCACAACCTCCTCTCGGGTAGCTGCGGAGAGCGATGAGGTCCCCCCGAGCCTCCTCTTCTCGGAGGATTAGCAGCAAAACAGTGCTAAGGGAAGAAGCCTTGATTTTTTTTTTTTTTTTTTCATTTTTAACCTTCAGCAACCAACCTGACTAAACTGTAGTGGAACAACCCCAGACTGCGCTTTGTGCTGCCATTAACCTGCACGGCCTATAGGTTGGACTCGCCGATCCCGGAGGTCTTTTCCGACCTAACCAACTCAGCGATTCCGTGACCCCACGCTGGCAGAGCGGTGAGGGGCGGGCGGAGGGCGGTGCCGCCCGCCATTCCCGCCCTGCCGGGGCCGGGCGGTGCGGAAGCGCAGGCGGCCGGGGCTGCGTCCCTGCCGGACCCCGGGAGGCGGAGCGACAGCCCGGGCACGGCGGCATCTTCTGGCGCGGCCATCGCCGTGCTGCTCCATGGAGAAGCGGGGCCCGGTGCTGCACATCGTGGTGGTGGGCTTCCACCACAAGAAGGGCTGCCAGGTGAGTGAGGGGGCGCCTGGACTCCCGCCTCTCCCCCGCGCTCCTTCCTCCCGGCCCTCCCCCGCGCCGAGCGGCGCCTGCCCGGCTGCTGGAGCCCCTGCGGGAGGGGCGCGTCTGGCGGGGCCGGGGGGCTTCGCTGCAGCTCAGGGGGCGGTACAGGAGGGGCTTGGACTCCAGCGGGGGCTCCCCTCGGCCGGGCTGGTGCTGCCTGGCTGGGCCCGCCCCGGGCAGTTCGTGGTTACGGAGCTGCGTCCGTGCCCGCCCCCGCCCCGCCTCGGCGCTCCCGCCGGGAGCGAGAGCCCTCCCCGCCGGCCCCCCTGTTCTCCTGTGACTGCGGGAAGCGTGCTTAACGCACTCGGGCAGTTCTGAGACAGCAAGCAAACAAACAAATGGTGTTTCAGACTACCTTCCTGTCTTCTGCCGGCTCAGCCGGGCAGCGCCGCGCTGAGCGCCCACAGATACGTCTTGTATGAATCAGCCCCCAGGATGCAAGTCCACCCTGGGTTTAAGTTTTCTTTGCTTTTCTCATCCCCTCTTTCATAAATGCTTGACTGCTTCGTGTGGCCTGTAAGGTAGAAGGATTTTATGTTATGTATTTCACAGGTATTTTATGCTCTTATTTTGTTTCCCTTAACCCTTGAAGCAGGAGATGCAGTTGCCCATCTGGCCTGCACATGCAATTGCTTTGTTGTGACAAGAGCAGATGGATATAATGTTGGATTTCCAGTGAGTGTTTTTCCATGGAGCATTCTTAATCTTAGTTTTTAACAAAATTGCCAGAACACTAATGAATGTGATGGTTATTGTTATACAAGAGTTGATCTGATACAAACGCATTCCATACAAGGTAGCTGAGAATTAAATTAATGCTTCAGTAAACAAAACAAGTGAAGCATGGAAAACGTGTAACAATTCCTCATGCCAGCAGAGGCTGGAGTGCAGTAACTCATAGGATATGTTCTTCAATCCCTGTTTCTAAAAGATGTGCATGGTTTTGTAATGCATCCCTTCTCCTCAGGGTGTCTGGGGGCTGCTCACATATGGATGTTCACAGGATCAGTTCCTGTGAAGTAATTAGATCATCAAGTACGCAAGGTCTGTGATATTTATCAGACTTCCCTGTCAAAGACTGTTAGCGGATGAGCGTTCACTGAGTGTCTGTAGGAGGAAGAGAATGTTTTTACCCTCAACTTTTTGTTGGCCTCTTGGAAAAGGCCTATGCTGGGTACAAAAGCAGGTATGGCTTTTGTTGTTTCTGTTCTCCTTTTGGGGCCTATATTTCTTTTATTGTACATTAGGCAGTGTTGAGGCAAAGAAAAAAACAGGAAAAAAAACAAATGAAAACAAACAATGCCTCAAACTATAAATTAGTAGCAGCGAATTTTATTTTGTTGCTAGTAAAATGTTTGTATAAGTATGTTTTGGGATGTTGTCAAAAATTGGGTTGGAATACCTCTGAACCAAAGTTTTCTCTAGGTATCTCAAGGAATTACCTGGAGAAGTTGGAGAGGATGGCAATTAAGGAAGAGGACAGGGTAGCTGTGTCACAGGAAGAAGAACTGCAGGGATGGAATGACAGACAAACAGCCAGACTTCCTAGGGGAAATCTAACCAGAAATCTGATGTTAAATATATTCTGCCTCTGACTTAGCAGATTTGTTACTGAACCATGGAAAACATTTCCTGAAAGCACTGGCAGCAGGGAGCTGCGCAGCTATAGCCTAATGAGTTTGACATCAGTAGTATGCAAGACTCTAGAGAATTTTTGAAGGAAAGAATTAATTAATAACATGACACTAAGTAGACTGAGTCCTGTGTGCATTTGCTAAAGATAGATTGTGCCTGACTGACCTGCATCTTTTGTAAGAATAAGTGATTGAATTCTTTTATCTGTGAAAGAAACGGAGTAATTCTCATCTACCAGGGACTTGATAACAGATCACTTTTGGTTTTTTTTAAGTTGGAGATACTGGAGAATTAGTGCAAGAGCAGGTACTTGAGTAAAGTATAGCATGGAGAAGAGGAAGCAGAATAGATTTGTGTCAGAAGAGGAACTATTAACTTGAAAGGTGCTTGCAAGGGGTGTTTCTCAAGACTGAAAGTGGTGCTGGTATTGTTTACATGATAAAATTGAAGTATGATGAGCAAACTTGAGGAATCTATTATAAAGGAAGACTGAAATGTTGTGCAAGAGCTGGATGATAAGGAATGCTAGAGTGCTGGAAATGGGGTGCATGATGAAGTTGTACAGTAGGAATGAATAATAACAGCATAAGCTTAGGAATTGATGTGAGAAAACTTCTGGAAAAGAGACCACATATGATCAAGGATAAGTCATAAAAGTGATGTGATTTGAGGGAAAAGAGTGGCAATGAATGTAGTCCTGTCATAATATATTTATTGATGTGTACAAATTCTGATCCACCTTTCAGAACAATGGATGTGGATCCTCTCTGTCACTTTCAGGATTGGATGAAATAGTCCTTGAGCCACCTGTATTTGAGAAGAATATAGAAGAGCTTGACTGGGTAGGCTAACAAAATAGATTTAGAGGCTGTATTCACCTCCATGAATACAGGAACATTCTTCCCTTTTCCTCTCCTGCCTCTTCACAACTGGAGAACAGAGGCAGTTGTTTGGTAAGCTGAAATGGGGAACTGAGGTGGCCAAAAGCAAGCCTTGTTTTGGTGGGTTGCTTCTGAGGTGGTTGGTTCACAGGTTCTTTTAGTGACAGAAGACAGGTAGACTGGCACAAGGAGAAGACTGGCAAGGGGTTAGAAAAAAGTCTCTTGAAAGTGGCAGTCTGGGACTTCTTTTTCATTGTTATGTCTAGAATCATAGAATGGTTTGGATTGTAAGGGACCTTAAATATCATCTAGTTCCAGCCCCCCTCCTGCGGGCAGAGACACCTTCTAGTAGACCAGGTTGCTCAATGCCCTGTCCAACCTGGCCTTAAGCACTGCCAGGGATGGGGCATCCACAACTTCTCTGGGCAACCTGTTTCAGTGCCTCACCACCCTCACAGAAAAGAATTTCTTCCACATATCTAACATCAATTTCTCCTCTTTGGTTTGAACCCATTTACTCCTCGTCCTGTCACTGCAATTCTTGATGAAGAGTTCCTCTCCAGGTTCCCTGTAGGCCCCCTTCGGATACTGGAAGGTTACTGTGAGGTCTCCACACAACCTTTTACTCTCCAGGCTGAACAGCCCCAGCTTTCTCACCCTGTCTTCGTAGAAGAGGTGCTTCAGTCTCTTTGTCAACGTCGTGGCCTTCCTCTGGACTTGCTCCAGCAGTTCCATGTCTTTCTTATGTTGGGGACACCGGAACTGTATGCAGGCAGTACTCTGGGTAGGGGTCTCATGAGAGCAGAGCAGAGAGGCAGAATCACCTCCTTTGCCCTGCTGGCCATGCTCCTTTTGATGCAGCCCAGGATTCAGTCGGCTTTCTGGGCTGTGAGTGCACACTGCTGGCGCATGTTGAGGTTTTCATCAACCATCGTCTCCAAGTCCTCCGCAGGCCTGCCTACAAAGACCTTTGAAGTAGTGATAATGGCCTTTGAAGTATTGATAATGGCCTTTGAAGTATTCACTGAAACACTGTATTACATGCAGCTGTGTTCCAAGAGACTGTTGGAAATTGAAAAATGAGGAGGAAAAACCTGCCGATTCATCTAAACGACGGTGTTGGCACAAGAGCGAGTGGGTACGAACCATCTGCGGGTGTGCTGCAGACTGCCTACGTGAAACTGCGAGGTGCAGAACAGCACAGGTCCTCAGCAGTGCTCAAACGGGCATCATTCAGAGCAAATGTGGGGAGCTCTAGGTAGAGAGACCATAGAGCCAACCTGCCTGTCCTAATTGGAACTGACCTAGTTTGCCTGAGAAGGCTCCTTTCGGTTTCTATTTCCATCTCCTTTTCTCTGTGGTCTTACTAGGAAATGCATGTTGAGTTAGGATTTTTGACAGGTTTCTTGGTGCTAGGTCTTCCACTAGCTGACTTTCCCTCTGAGGCTTCATTGCCTGAAATGTGCAGCTCTTCCTGTTGGTTAGTTTAGAGGATAAGAAACATTTAACCTACAGAGAAAAGACCTTGATGTACAGTTTGGAAATGTATCTTTTTCTTCCATGGACTTGAAAAACAATCCATGTGCATTTTCTTCTGAAAGAGAAGGAGAGTCAGGGAATCTGTCTGTTTCTGTGAGCCTTTGGATTGAGAACACCAGTGTCATGATTGTTCCACATGCTCCTTCCAAGGGCCTTCTGTTGTACTGGGGGTCTTTTTGCTCAAATGTAAGAGACAACGTGAAGTACATTGTTTAGTCTGGGGATGCAGTTTCCCAGGAAATCATTAAAAGCTTGGAGTTGCCATTCACTGTCATGAAGGCTTTGTGCTGTCTGAAAGCAGCACTAAAACTCCTGAACACACTGGGAGGAGTTTTCTGTAGCAAGTATGGGGTAAGCTTTTGGAGAGGCTGCAGGCTTTTGTTTGTTTACATGCACAGGTTGCCATCCTGCTTCTTTGGGCTTCTTAGTTACTGAGTTGGACTGCGAATCCCACAAGATATTCAGAAAGTGCTGGTTACTGTCTCTCTCTGCCAAGGATTAGAGGGAGTGATGGCAGAGCGCTCAGAGAATGGGAGGAGAAACTTGGCTGAAAACTATTAGGTCCACCTAGTATTTGACATGCTTTCAACAGGTCCATTAAGGAAGGGAATGACAAATGGCAGGAAGCGGGCACTGTGACTGGGTTCTTGCCTTTGTACAGACTGGCTGACTTGTTATGGGAACCCTCCTCAGTGAGTCATTAAATAGTAAATGTCCTGCAGTGAGTGGAGCTCATGGGCAGTATTCATTGGATCATGATTTTCATTCACCTAAAATGAAGTGACAAACTATAAAATGAAGTGACATTAAAAATTGCTTTTTTGATCCCTCTTTGCTATGGGTAAGAGTAGTGGCCTCAGGAAAAAGGAACAGCAAACAAAGCCCTTCTTCATA